ATTCAAGATTGTCTTAAGTTCAATCTTGAGATGTTACGAACCATCAGAGACCAATATTCAAAATCGATTTTTATTTTAAGATCGTTTTAAGTAATATCTTAAGATGCTAATACGGCTCTCTGATTGGTTCGTGATATCTTAAGACTGCAGTTAAGGCGGTCTTGAATATAAGTGAATCGACTATGAATACCGGCCAGAGAACCGCATTAGCGTCTTAAGACATTACTTAAGACGATCTTGAAACAAGAACCGACTATGAATACCGGTCTTAAAGTGGTCTTAAAGTTAGTTGGAAAATTCTTTTTTCAGAGATTTATTCAAAAGCCGAATTCTCTCTCTCTCTCTCTCTCTCTCTCTCTCTCTCTGGCGTGCTCTGTTAAATCTATAGTTTCAAATTTAACTTAACATGAGTGCCACTGCTAACTAAATATAATACATCGTTATTTTATACTAAAACAATAGTTATATTTGACATTATACAGTGTCAATTTAACACTATAATGTAAATTGACACAATATAGTGTCAAATTTAACTATCATTTAGATTTAACAGAGCTGTTCTCATCTTAGCGTTACCGCAAGTTCTGAATTTTGTGTCCTCGGATCCTGTTTTGGTCTCTTTTATTAGTCTTAGTTTATTAGTCTTCGGAAGTTCCGCTACGCAACATCGGAATCCTTGTTAGAATCCGATCCAGTTCGAAATTATCTTGGCAAAAAGGCATGGGCGGCCGCCGTGGTGGAGGGGAGGGAAGCGCTCTTTATTAAAAATTCTTATTCAAAGTACGCCCGTAACAATGGCTCATAAAAGAAATCCTGTCGATGCAGGAAGAGAGCTTTAATAAAGGAATCCTTAATGGTGAAATTGCCGATCGTCCTGACGCTCCTTCGGGAATGACGATGAGTCGTTCAGTTTATTAAAAATCTTTTATTTACGACGTCGTGATGATAGAGAAATTGCCATCTATGAAAATTTCATGAATATAATAGGGATTGTGGATTCCCTCGCGTGAGAATTTATTGCTAAAGAGATCCTTTTGTTGAGGATAGTTTTGTTACTTGATGATTGCAAAAAAGAAACCTGAATTGCAAAAACGATTATATATATAAATATAAATACTTAAGGAACCAAGAAGAGAACTGAAAACTTATACAAAATAAAAATAGCTCTAAGACACGATATTCAGGATTCGAGATACAAAAATTTAAAAGTTTATGGCTCGAGAATAACAATTTAAAGTTCACAAATTCGAAATGTAGAGAAGACCAAATTATTGTAAATAATCTGTACACGCGCGCGTGACGCTTTGCAAATCATTTTACACAATAATTTAATATTATATTAGCAATATACAGAATAAAAAGAAAAAAAGTATAAAAAAGTATAATAAAAAGAATAAGAGGAAAATAAAAAGAAGAAAATGTTCTATCGTACATTGAGTTATTAGCTTTTCGACAATCAAAAAGTATACCTGAGCTCGGTCTCCCCTCAGTATATGGAAATTTAATAATTCAAAATTTAAGGAGTTAAAGCTCAAAGATTAAAAAGAATTCAAAACCTGCGCTTTTAATTCTCGAAATTTATTTTCTGAGATTTATAGGGAGGATCTCAGATATCGGGCTGGCAATAAGAATCAAGAACATATACGATTGTTCAAGTATCCAGGAGTAAAAATGTAAGATATATGGAAGTATTTTTCTTACACAGGAAATGAATAATGGTCGCTGTGAAGAGAATAAAATCGTTGGTTAAGAAATCTGAAGGAATAAACAATTCTGTAATTACACCTGAAAAAGGCTAGAGATAAATTTCTGGACAATCCAAATTCGTAGGATTTGTGCCTTTTTGATCGGCCAAAAGGAAAATAGATTTACGTAGTAGAAATTGAATTACATGGAGAGACTTTCTTTGCCTCTCGTGGGAACATCATCGAATCTTTACTCCAAAGAAGACGAAAGGAGGCTTCGTAACCGGGATCGTTCAACTTGGAAATGTAAATTAGAAATTATGATAAAAATACAATTCTTGTGGAAGAAAAAAATTGGAGATTATTCATACTCGTTGACAGAATAGGACAAGAATAATTGTAAAACAAATTGCTATTTTTATGAGATAATTGGCGTAAAAGATGAGAGTATAATAACGTGATTATCGTAACAACTCTATTATTGTTATAATTATGCTGCTATTACTATGTACTCTAGCATTATTGTGTAACATTTACAATCGTTGTTATATTTCTTCGCTACGTTGCATTTGTTTTCATTATTAAGCTATTCTTTGATAATGAGTGTTTTATACAGCTATTAACTATTAACGATATTATTGACGGTAGCAAACAATGAGAGGAAGGCAATGCAATGGTAATGACAAATTAACGAAGTCATTGTGACGGGAGACATTGCGATGGAAGTAGTCAGGACGATTTATTTTCGCGTACGGTTCAATGCTCTTGATTCTTCCCTACTTCGAGTGTTTGTCGAGGAGCGCTCGTTCCCTCGACTTTTATCTTTACGGCGGAACGAATGCTCTCAAGAACAGCCATCGATATTCCCGTCCCGGAAATATCGGGCTTGTTCTTCAGTACGACGTGTTTCAAGACGATCGACCGACCCCTTCCCCGCGATAAATTATTGTTTCTTGAAAAATATCCGCCCGCTCTGCCCTTTTCTCCGTCGATTTTCAAAATTCTCACTCGATAAACGCACCCCTTCATCGCTCATCTGAAAACAAATCACGAAATATTGTTACCGACGTATAACGAAGAAAAAGATTTTAATAAATGAATTTAACTTGATAAACTACCGTTTTTTCTGAACTGACGGAACAAATAGAAGAAGTAAAATAAAAGATCTTCATTTCTTGAACATGTTTACTTAATATTGTTTAAAATAAAAGATAAAGTTTGTTTATCTCCAGAAATGCTCTCTGTTTTAATTTTTTTTATTATCGAAGATAGATTCCAAAAATATCCGTACACTGATTATTTCTCAAGTACTGTCTAATATTTTAGGAGTCTATGAGATCATTTTATGAAGAGAAATATGAATTCTTTTTAAGAAAGAAATTTTTTTTAATTCATTAAATAGGATATTATCTTCATTTACCTGTAATGAAGTTTTTTAAAAAGTAATGGAACAGAAACATGATTTAGGTAATATATTACTGTCCCGGACTTGTTAATGGACGGAATCAAATTTTTACAGATTTTTATTACGTTCATTGTAATTTTGTTATTAATTATATTCCCGCTAAAAAAAGGAGAAAAAAATTAATTTTTTAAAAACCTTTTCAGCAGTGAATAAAAAAATGATAAGTTTATAAAATTTTTATTCTATCTTTCAAACAAGGCCTTTGAGATTATATGGTATTATTATATTCATAAAAACTTTTCTTCATAAAATCAGTTCCTAAAATATTATCCAATGTTTAAGAAACACTCTATCCGTCTCTTAAAATTGATCTTTGTATTTATTTTTTACGTTTACCTCGGACAAACATGTGATGGAGATTATTTGTGTTCGTAACCATAATGCGTTTACGTTACTTCTATTTCAGGTACAAGGATAACAGGGCTTACCCTTGGCCGGGCGGCGAGAGCCACTTTATCCTGTATCCGGAGAGCGCGAATCAAACGATCTACACGCAGGAGATGAGAGCCTCGGATGCGGGACGGTACTCTTGCCAGGCACGTAACGACACAACCACTTTGGAGGGTGACATCACTCTCTCTGTACTCGGTAAGTAGGATATCCTAGGCTAAACCTGATGGGATTCATTCATCAGCCTATATTAGAAGCTCAAAGGAGATCCTTATTATATCTCCATTCGACATTTATGTAATAGAAATACGTTACGTAGGACGAGAATAAGATAATGATGAATAGTAATGATAAAATTGAAATCAAAGAGGCTATTCGTGGAGAGAATATTGTATTATAACATGCAAACGATTTCTTCTCTCGCCCCATAATTTGCACGTTGCATGTGTAATTACAACCAAACACCTTAATTCAATATCGATATATTTATGTTTTTCGATTCTAGAGTAATCTAGTCGAAGTGAATTTATTAAAATTGAATTTATATAATTTTTGTTATAGCATAAATTTTCCTCTGATTTGAGAAAAAAAACAATTTTTCTTTTTATATTATTTAAAATGTTAAATAATGTAATACATTAAGAGACGTACAGTGGACTTTCTGAGATATAAAAAAATGTTAATTTTTACATTTTTGCATGTCTCAAAGAATCCACTATCTAAGTCCATGTTTAAGTTAAAATTAACAGACATATATATAATATGTATTTTACATATAATATATATTTATCATAAAAATTTAATCAATAAAGAAAAATTGCAAGTTATGTAAGCAAATGTTTAAATTGCTTACCTTCTTCTGGAATACAAAGCTCTGCTTATTTTAATAAATTACAGCTATTACAATTTTTCCTTATTGATGGATATTATGTGTTTGCAATGCCAAAATAATTTTTAGACAGCTTTTTATGTTAGCATTTCTTAGAGTATTACTGTTTAAAATAATGATGGAAATTTTTAAATGTTAAATATCAATAAGATAAATAACAATAAAAGTGACATTCCCGTTGAATTCATCTAAAGAATTGAATTCAACCTTTACGATATTATGAAAAAAATTGATGTTATTTAAATAAATTCAACGTGATTTTGATTAAAAAAAAATTTTTTTTCACTTTCTATTTTAAATAGTTTGCATAAAGTAGATGAATATTTACTTTCAATCTTTTTTTAACTCGGAAGCGTTCCAGAAATCGTGCGGACTGTTAAGATGACTTTACTGTCAATAATACTGTTAGTGTTAACAAATTATACGGACGATATATTATTGATCGTGCGTTAATAACTGATGGATTGACATAGAATACTGACGGTGATCTAGATTTTGATTCTCGAGTATCAGCATTTTAATAAAGCGATGCTAATAAATCCATGTCACAGTATGTCATAGTGCGATAGATATTGCACATAAAACTAAAGTGAAATATATTGCCGACAATACCTGACCGTGTAAGGTTATAAAAATACTAAAAGTATTGATGCGTATTGTCAGTATTATTTATTTAATTATATATAACCGATCAATTTTATTGACCGGTTTATAGGGTCACTTTTACACTGAGCACTTCATATAATATTTGAAAAAGTAATTTTTATATATCTAAAAAATGTTGTACAAATTAGATTCTATAGGGACAGTTGATTCAATCTTTCTAAAATCTCTTTTTGTTTTATCGAGTTTTAAGAGATGACCCACGATTGTGGATTTATAACTAAAGCAATAATCGAATTTTTTTTTTAATTTCAAACAACAACTGTAATAACAACAGCTAAAAAAGGGAAGCATCAATCGGAAAAGTGCACGCGTTCGATTTGAAACGCTGTCGTTGCGATTAAAAAAAAAAGAGCGCAAAATTCGGATGATCACATGAAGATGCGCCTTTGACGCTTCCATTCAAAATAAAAGAGGGGCAGAGGACGCGGGGACGATTGTCGCAAAAAGCGTTGCAAAACGTCAATCGCTATCGTCGACAAAACGATACTCGTTTTCGATGTCCGCGTCAAAGAGCCTCGTCATCATGATACTGTCATGTAGAGATCCCGTGGGACACAATGTTGGCTCGTATGAGAGAGAGAAGACCCCTCTGCGATTCTTTCCGCATCTTTTTCTGCGTCCGGAACCTTTGTTATTACAGACAAATCTTTCCTACCGTTTAATCAAATGTTTTTTTCCCCGGACGATACAAATTCGGGGATAAAGGTTTTGAGATCTAAATAGAGAATGAACGTTGTGAGTTTATTTTGTAAATAATATTTAATCGGTTTTATTCTCAACTTTTTTTCTCCTTTGCAATTATACAAAACGAAAACGTATTGGTTGTTTAGAACACTGTGAATGATGGATTTAAGATAATAAAAGATAAAATTCGAGATAAAGCAAAGTATTGAGAAATAAATGATAAAAAATATGCTTTTCTTTTTAAGTAAAGATTTTGTTGCTCTTCTTATCTATGAATCGATAATCATTCCTCCTCGCGTTTCATCTTCGCGTTTGTTCCCGCGAGATAACATAGCACGGTGTATATATCGAATGCCCACGAATGTATCGATCCGGAATTTCAATTAAATCTCTCTGTCTGTCGGATCTGATCAGTTCCGGACAGTCAGTTCGCTTTTCCGGCGCATGTTTTCGGTACCGGCGTGCATGGCAGGAGAAAAACCTCTAAAAGTGTTGTATTGTTCAGCTACATCGATTTTTATGACATCGTAACATCGTTTTTCCGACCAGAGACTTGAATCGTGTTTCAGGGACAGTCGTCAAATTTTTGGGTTTTATTATAATAGAAAAGTCAGGAAAGAGAAAGAATGGCAGTATATTATATATTTATTAAAATAATTAAATGCATTGTTAGAAATGTAATCACGAGCTTTCTTTACATGTAAATGAAGCTCCTGATTATGAACGAAATTAAAAGTAATGAATGATTTGATTGAAAATTAAGTTACAGCAGTTATTTAAATGTAATGAACGTGAACATTAAATTTATGAAATTTATAACTATATTTTTTAATAAAATTTTATAAAAAGTACATTAAATTTCATAAATTTTTATGAAAAATACATTAAATTTAATCTAATGTCTTGAAATTAAGTAACTTCAAATTGTGTAACTTAAAAGTTAATGAAATTTATGAATATTTCTAACAGTGTGATTATTAGTATTACAAATTTGTATCAATTAATTTTAATATCCATTAATTTGTTTCTTAATTGTCCTGAACATTCGCAATATTCGTGAATTTTTAAATACGCGCAATAAATTTTATTAACCTTTACATTAATTTAATGTACTCGCATTTATCATTTATTATTAAATATGAGATTTAAATATGTCTGTATATATTTCAAAGTAAATATTTATTTTTGTTGTAATTATTATCCTTGATATTTATGATATTCGTAGACCTTTTAAACATCCGCATCCCATAAAATTTAAAACATACGAAAAAATTTTTATGTTAATTTATTAATTTCATATACGTATATGTTCACGTAAAAATATAAAATATGATATATAAATAATATATGTATACATTTTTATATTATTTATGATAAATTTTTAATTTTCACATTCACGTATTCTTCAAGTAAATCTTTGTTTATAAAAAACAATTATAAAAAACAATACATGTAAACATATATAAAGAGGAAGAGAGTGAAATAAGAAATCAGGATCACCCACTTCATCACTTCTACAAGATAAAGTTAAAGTTCGGTCGGGTAATGTAATCGCGGAGAATCGTCGTAGCGTATTAGAATTCGGTTGGAAAACGTTTGGAAAATTTCGCCTTTTCGCGGACGACGAGGGCGAATTGCCGAGTTAATATTCATCGGAGGAGCGACCGCGTTTCCGGTCGTCTACGACTCCTAAACCCCTCGATTTAGCACGCATTCGTGCACTGCCGTTCTTCCTTAGTGTCCTGCCTGTCGATATAACTTCTAGCTTCGCCCCAGCAATTTGCCGGAATTCGTCCGAGAGAATTTCGAGCCGGCGACGTTTAACTCTTTGAGCATATTGAACATATTAAATTTCGCTGTTCAATTCTTCGTTTCTTCATTTTCTCTGCCGTTAAATAATTCTCACAATCAGCTATCAATTTATCTACGTTATTAAAAGTTGTATTACATATTCAAGAAATATTTGAAGGCTTGAAGAATATAACATTGAAATATTTTCTGGTCGCGATGATTCATCGTACTTGTATTTCATTCGTAAATTCATTCGTGAAAAATTGATACTGAATTCACTAAAGAATTGGAGATTGAAACAAGACAATTCGATCCGCATATTTATCAAGTATTTTTATCAAATAATTCAAACAATGAATTATACATCCTTAGTCAAAAGCCAAAAATATAAAGAATCCTCGCAAATTGACGTAAATTTATGTTACGAAAAATGAATTATCAAACAATTTTATTGAAAAACAATATTTATTTTACAAACAATATTTATGTAACAGTTTTAATATCTTGTTGTTTTCTTGTTTAGTATCATGTTGTTTTCCTTTGAATTTTATTATCGTCTTTTCCAAGAAAACGCGATAAATTAAGGGTGCTTTATATTCATGGCCGAGGCTGTATAGCTTTAGTAAATTAAAGGAATTCACGCATTAGGAACGTTTTTCTGTATCGCTCATTTACTACAAGGACATAATTAAAAAATTGTCATTTTGAAGTTGCTTACAGAAAAGAACGGAAACGTAAAAAAAGAAAGAATATACTTTTATTCCGCTAACATCAGTTGTACTCCAAAATTACATTTTTAAATTAATATATTGCAAATAATGTTAATGAGATTTAAAACATTCAAACTTATTTTCTAGACAACTTTGTTTTCAAAAGTTGTGTGCTGTTATTATAACAAATGGAGCGGTATATTTATATTGGTCTCATATATTTTTATTAAAGGTATTTTGCGCAAGATGAAGAGAAAGATAATTAACGTGAACACAGGGATTATAATCGAGAGTGGACGCTTTTCTTCGCGTGCCTTGGGAGTAGATTAATGAATAAATTCCTTACACGAGCTAAGAAAGCAATTGCTTCGCGGAAAATTGCCAGTCAGGAAAATTGGTACGACCCGATCTCTCTCTCTCTCTCTCTCTCTCTCTTTCTCTTTCTTTTCTTGATGCAT